ATTGACACTGCTTTGCTAGTCTGCAGGAAGCACTGGCTTCCATCACCAGCACTGCCTTTTCCCTGGACAGAATTCTCTCCTGTAATTCCAGAATTGAAGAGGAAGGTAGAGGGCAATGAAGGGATCAACTCATCTCCCTGGCTTGAGAAGATGGAATCAACAGTGGAAGCTGGGTCAGGGAGAGGACACACATAATATGACAAAAGATAGGAACTGGAGGATTGCCATGAGTTTGCCTTAGCCTGGGAAAGATGAAGAAGCCCTGTTCCAACCAACCAACAACACTAAGAGCTGTGGCCAGGTGTCGAAAACAGTGAATCCTGGAGAATCGGGCAATGCTGTTCTCCAAGCTACCACTTCACTTGGTGTCAGCATGGGAGCCTCAGGACAGCACCCCAGGTTTCAGCATTGTCTCACCCAGCTCCAGTCAGTGCTAGAAACTAAACTTTTAAAATCTAAAAGATAATACAAGAATTGAAAAACATTCTAGGTTTGAAAAGCCTGGCAGAGCATTTGCCTTTTGAGTAAACAGAGATCCATTTTTTTTTCTTTCTGATTTTCCTAAAGTTTTTGTTTGTTTGTTTGGTTGGTTGGTTGTTTGTTTTATTTTGTTTTTGAGACTGGAATTCATGTACCCAGCAAGGAGTCTCGGCTGTCCTTGAATGTCTTTCCCTCCCTCTATCTCTAAAGGGTGGTTGATTACAGGTGTGTGCTCCTGTGCCCCATTGGTGGAATTCTGAGATCTTTTCCAGGCTTCATGCATGACAAGCCCTGTACCAATGGTGGCAATCCTGGAGCTTTTGCCCACAGTTTTGGACCCAGGAAGGGCCATGTAAGAAGTCTGTAAGATGAAATTACACTAAGAACAGAGAACACTGAGCTCAGTTTCCAGCTCACTTTATGTAATTAACTGGCTAGTTTGTTTATTGATGTAATATGCTTTTCAAAATTAAAATGTACTTTTTGAGGGGTAGGAGTTTAATCACATTACAGCCTGATCCCAGCCCCCTACCCCCTTTCCTCCCAGTATTCATGCCCACCTCACCCATTTCCCCCCTCTTTCTTCTCAGAGAAGGGGAGGCCCCTAAGTGGTACCAACCCATCCTGGCACCTCAAGTCACAGCATGACTAACTTATTTTCTTCCACTGAGGCCAGACAAGGCAGCTCCGCAAGGGGAAAGGGATCCAAAGGCAGGCAACAGAGCCAGAGATAGTTATTATGCTTTTTTTTTTTTTAAAGAAACTGAATAGGCCAACAGGTGCTTAGCAAACAATAGCACAAAGCCTGCAAAGCTGCAAAGTCTGGTGATGTAAGTTTGATCCCCAGGACACATATTTTGGGAGAAGAGAACACATCCACAAATGTTATTTAATTTTTGGTTGTGTGTTTTAAGACAAGGTGATATGTAGCTCTGGCTGTCCTGGAAGTCGTTATGTAGAGCAGGCTGGCCTCTAACTCACAGAGATTCACATGCTTCAAGCTGGAAGTTCTGTGATTAAAGACATCACCAACTTCCTTGCATTATTTGATTTCTAATTATTGGTGGGTGGGCCAATTGCCATGTTGCACCTGTGGAGGTCAGAGGAAACTTTTCAGATGTCTGTGTTCTGCCTGGGTTCCAGAAATCAAACTGGAGTTGTCAGGCTTGGAACAAGTGCCTTTACCTGTTCAGCCTTCTTAGAATCTGTGATTAAGGGAATGCTAAAAGGTCATTTGATGCACTGAGTTTTCACTGCTTTCTTCAAGAAAGCACCTCTGATTTCTGTTTGTGATTTGATGCTGATGTTTGACAGGTTCTCACTGTGTGGATCAGGCTGGCCTGAAACTCACAGAGGTCCTCCTGCCTCTGCTTTTGGAGTGTGAAATTGAAGGAGTACACAACATGCTAGGATTGCACAGATTTTTAATAAAGCTCTCCCCACCCCAGGCAAGGTCTCATTGCACTCTGGATGCCCTAGAACATTCTCTCTGTAAACCAGGCTGGCCACAAGCTCACAGGGATACACCTGATTCTGCCTCCAAACTACTGAGATTAAAGGCAAGAACCACTATACATGGCTAAACAAAGTTTATATCACTGTGTGGATCAGGCTGGCTTGAAACCCGCAGAGATCCTGCTTTGCTTCTGGAAGTGAAAGGTGTGCACCACATGCTGGGATTACACAGGTGTGTTAATAAAGGTTTATTGTGTTTTTGACTTTCATCTCATAATGCTTTGCTTCACCCTTTGAAAGAAAGAATCCATCTTGGTCATGATTGTTCTAAACTTCTTGATAAAGGCATCATCCCAACAAATCTTGATAACTTCTAGAGCTAGAGTTTGTTCCTGCCTAATTCAGCCCTCTCACATCTACAATGTATTCATGTGGGTGTTTTGTTTGTTTGTTTTTCATTTTGTTGTTGCTGTTAAAAAACAAAAATTTCATTCTGTGATCTTTGGCTAACCTAAAACACGATACTTACTCAAGTACAAACATACAAAATGAAACCCACAGTGAAACAAATATAATCACAGACACTAACACCACACACACTTGAATAACCCATACATAAATAAGTACATGCAGGTGCTCATACAAAATGAGTCAATCAAGCAAGCAAACAATGGAAAATTCACTGTTTGTTAGTTAGTTTTGTGTTTTTTTGCTTGTTTGTTTTTTTTTTTTTTTCTAGACTTGTTTTTACTGTGAGTAGCCCTGGCCATCCTGGAGCTGGCTTTGTCCACCAGGATAGCCTTGAACTCATCAAGATCTGCTTGCCTCTGCCTCCCAAGGGCAGGGATTAAAGACATGTGTCAACACACCCAGCAGAATCTTGACTTTGTAATTCAGTGCTTTTGATTCCAAACAATCTACAGTATGATTCAATTAACCTAAAGCAGGGAAAGTCAATCTTCATAGGATGAAGTGGGTGGAGACTCTTTGGACCAATCAGACAGGAACTTGTGGTAGGGAGGTGGGCGACATGGGGAGGGGCAAGGAAGTAGGTGTATAAAAGCAGTAGAGGAGCCATGGTAGAACATCAGAGTCCTGGAGCCTGCAGTCACTGCCTGACCTAGCTGGGAACAGGAGCCTTGTGACCAGTGTTCATATCAGGTAAGTCACTCACCTGCATCTGGAGGCCTCTTGCATGCTGGGTTAGCCTTATCACCATCAAACTACAGTTACATTTCCAATTTAGAATTTTTAGACTTGGTATAATTTGGTTTTAATGAGAAATGGTCATTACATGGGAATTTACATGTCAGTTTCTTTGTTCTGTTGAGTTTTTAGAGACAGGGTCTCAAATAACCAAGGCTTGTGTTGAACTCTATATCTTTATGCCTCTGTCCACAGTTCTAATCTCATTCTGGAATTTCAGTTAGGATGTTAAATTAGAAAGTAGTTTAAGCCTTTGCAGTATCTTAAACTATGTTTCACAGATTATGGTTTTGCAGTTAAATGAACTGAAATTTTTTTCTCTTAATTGTCCTCTACAAACAGTGCTGGGGATGGCTTCATGCAAAAACCCATGTTCCAGCTGCTCTGGGAATAAAGGTTATAGAAATGTGGTTGCTCAGCCTTGTCTACCTGATTGAGATTGTCTAAAACTAAGATACACACACACACACACACACATACACACACACACACTCATCCATGTGTGTGCATGGATGTGTGTATATATGAGGAATGATAGTGATGCCGCATACAGCAGGCTCATCTGGACACTAGAATTAATGTCCTGAGCACAAGAGATCTCACTCCAGGCTAGATCTGGCTGCATAAAGAAAACTCACCTCTACATAAAATGAAAGAAAATGAAATAGATGACCTGGGAATGTGACTGAATGGTAGAACACTTGTGTGGTGGGAACAAACCCCACTATGGAACAACTTTAATGAAGGCAGTTAAAATACTTTTTTGTTTTTGTTTGGTTGTTGCTGTTTTGTTTATTAAGACACAGGTTTCTCTGTGTAGGATTATAGGTTCCTACAAGGGTATGTGCCATCTATGTAGTGTTTTAAGGCAGACTCAAGTAGTCAGGCATAGTGGTGGTGGTGGGGGAACATCCCAATGTTCCTTTTCAAAGCTGGAACAAAGTGAGTAGGCACAAGCTTGGGCTACAATAATGAGTTTCGTTCAGGTTTGGAAAGGTAACCAATACCACTCAAGACTCCTTTGCAGACAATACCTTATTTAAAATTGTAAACAAAACAAAGAATATTGATGATTTTTCTCATTTCTTTTCTTCTTCTGAACCCCAACTGAACATAGGGAAATCATCTCCTTGTAGCCTCTGTCCACTTGGCTTCTCATCCAATACTCACATTTTGCACATGCTGTCATTCAGAAGCATGGCTTTCCAGTTGCTTTTGTGATAGTTGCATCTCTCACTTTGATTTTGCATTTCTGACATGGTATGGCATTTTAGCCAGGTGGCCACAAATTACAGACCATTTACCACAGTTCCTCAAAATAATATGATGTAGCCCCGTAAGCCCTCACTAGTCTCTAACAGGATGAGGAGTAGTGCATGCAGACAGGCTTCTCATAGATTTGCCTCAGTCCTTCCCAAAAGGGATCAGTCTCATAAAAGTATAATAAGTATGAGTTGGCCCAGTGACATCAGCACTATCTGTCCTTGAGGTCCTAGAAATTTATTCAGTGTCTTTTTCCTGTAACAGCTGTCTGCTCGGATTTTATCCTCCTGCATAACCATTGCTCTGACTAGGCATGAGATTCAGAGAAGCAAGGGGTGGGTAGCTGGTGGGACAATGGTTAATGTGTTTCTGTGTGGGCACTAATGGGAGAATTCAGATGCTGAGAGTGATGGAAGTATGGCTTAGAGACCACCAGATTGGATAACTGGGCAGTAAAAGTTCTCCATAATTGCCAGAGCATGGACTCTAGCCCTTGGGTTCCTATGATGTGTGAGAAATAGGAATTTTCAGAACTTAAGCTGAACCTATGTCTCCTAAATGCTTCACAGGTGCCTTCTGACTGAATGTCTATCAGGATGAGCTTCTACAACCCTCCTACACTCCAGCAGCTGGCCATTAAGGGGCTGCTGAGGAATGAAGCCTTGGTCATCTCTTCTCTGGACTGCATACCCATTATGCTCTTCCCACCACTCTTCGAGGAGGCCTTCAAAGGCAGACACACAATGATATTGAAGGCAATGGTGGCAGCCTGGCCCTTTCCCTACCTCTCTGTGGGAGTACTGATGAAGACCCCTGAAGTGGAGACTTTGCAAGCTGTGCTGGATGGCATAGACATGCTGCTGACCCAGAAGGCCCGTCTCAGGTAAGCAAGTTACAATGAGGCTAGAAGTAAAATCACTGGGCTAGTGGTAAGACACAGGTGAGGTCACAGAGAATGGGGTCAAACTAGAAGAATTCTTTTGATATCATGGTATTGGGGGTCTGTGGAACTAGTGTTCAGATTGAGAGCTGTGATAAATGACAGTCAGGAATGGAGAACAGCTCAGAGAAGATGAGGCCCTAGTAGGATGAGCCTTTCTCTGTGTGTTCTAGATGTGGAAGAGACGAGTCCACACCAGCTGAGTGGAGGGAAGCAGGGCAGGTCTCCAGATGCAGATCAGGCAAAGCATTCTTGCCTGGTAGGTGTGAGGTACTATGATGGAACTGACATTAGAATAGTGGGATAAAAGCTGCCTCCAGGTAGGTTCCTGGTTTACATTATGCAATTTCACCTTTTCACCTCACAGAAGGCAGAAGCTTCAAGTGCTGGACTTAAGGAATGTGCGCCAGGATTTCTGGGATGTGTGGGCTGGAAGAGAGAATGGAGCCCACGCAGAAGATTCTGGAAGAGAGAAGCAAGTAGTAAAGTCCCTTCATACATATGCGCTGTGGCAGCCTTTGAAGTTGGTCACTGACCTGAGCCTCTGCTTCCATCTGCAAGAACACCAAATATGTTTGATCCAGTGGGCCCAGCAGAGAAGGGGCTCTGTACATTTTTGCTGTGTGAAGATGGAGATCTCTGACTTCCCTGTGGAGACCATCAGGGAGGTTCTAGACATTTTTCGGCCACACTACATTGAAGAATTGGAAGTGTTTACCCGCAAGGTCCTGTCCTTCTTAGGTCATTTTGCACCTTTCCTCAGCCAGATGAGAAATCTCCGCAAATTCCGTCTAAGTCTCAATGACTTGGTTATGGACAGGGAAGCCTTAGATAAGTGTCTTTACAAGTTCCTTACTCAGTTCTCCAAACTCAACTGTCTCCAGCATCTCTCCCTGAATGGTGTCTACTTTTCCACTGACAACATGAAGCAGTTGTGCAGGTAAGGCATGATGGGGAGATGTTTCTGCCATGTCAGCAAACCCTTTCCTTGACTTTGAGCATTAGTGAGCACCTGAAGTTTGCCAGCCACATTGGATTTTACAGTGACAGACTCATTAAACTATCAAAGTGTAGATTGTTATTTTCTTAACTGAGCTCTCTCGAGTTCCCCTTTCATTTAACTGAGTTTGAGCTAGATAGGAGATGTGTAGAGAGCTGTGTTGCAGGTATGTGAGTTGCATCAGTGGTTAAGAGGCAGTGAGTGATTTTTGGGTGTTCCAAAAATTTAATGGAAGGGAACAGAACAGAGCAGAAGATGCTGAGCTGAGGAGGAGCTACACCTGCGGAAGTGCAGAGGAAGCTCAGTACAAAGCTGTCTGAACAGGAACTAGTTTGTTCCTCTATTGACTTGTCTGTCAGTCTATTGTTCCCCCTGAAGGGATGCATGATTCAAACACAGGTTGGGACTTAGTAAGTGGAAATTGGGTGTTGGTGGTGTGGATCATCACTTCCAAGGGAATAGCACTGAAACCAGGAATAGAGGTTGTCCTAGACATTGTGTCAGAGATGAATCCTGTTGGACATATGGCAAGATGTTGGTAGAAACATTCTGTGATGGTCCTTTCTGATTATGTTCTTTTCCTGTGATGTGGCAAGCTTTACTTCTCTGTTTGACAGACTAAGGATGGGGACACAGATGTGTATCTGTGTCCTGAGACCTTCCAGCTAATAGCACAATAACGCAGGAGACAATGATAATAGCAAACACCAGCAGGCTGTACCCTAAATGTTGACCTTTAGCATAAGCATACATTGCTTGTCCCCCTGTCTCAGTGTCAACCTTACTAATGTCCTCCAATACAATGCACCATAACTTATTTCTTGTTCTTTACCTAGGTGTGTGAAGACCCCACTGGAATCCTTGTCTATCACTCAATGTCCTCTCTCACAGTCACACTTTAAGCAATTGTCCAGGTGTCCGAAACTCTATCAACTGAAACAACTTGACCTCAGTGGTATATTGTTATTCACGTCACATCCCACAGGTCTCCAAGTCCTCCTGGAGAATGTGGCAGACAGTCTGCAGACCCTGGAGTTAGAGCACTGCAGCTTGGAGGACTCTCACCTCAGTGTCCTCCTGCCTGCCCTGAGCCAGTGCTCCCAGCTCACCAGGGTCAATTTCTGTGACAATCCCTTCTCCAGGCCTGTACTGAAGGACCTTCTGCAATGCATGGCCACTCTAAACCAGCTGGCTGTAGAACTGTACCCTGCCCCAATTGAGTGCTATGATCACCTGCGTAATGTCCTCGTGGACAGATTTGCACAACTGTGTCCTGAGCTTCTAGACATAATCATTGCCAAAAGGCAGCCCAAGAAAATATCTTTTGCTACAACCATCTGCCTTGAATGCAGACATCGTTGTGTCTATGACATGAAGACCATACTTTGTCAATGTTGGCAGTAAGAAGGAAAAGGTTGCTTCTGGATGCTAAGAAATCAAAGTCAAGTGGAGGACCTTCATCAAGGGGTTCCAGAACAGGTGGCTTTTGACGCAGTTTGGAGTTACAGGATATTTGATTCCATTTTGAATCCCAAGACCGAGAACAGCAAAAACCTGTTTCTTGTTGTAAAGTGGTTCAGCCCCTGGATAACACCTTTAACCCCAGAACTTTCTGATTATTGTAAATGGTTGTGGTGTGGCTCAGGCTAGCACACACCTTTGTTTCAAGAGCTTTCAGTAAACAAGAGGTAAATAAAGGTAACCCTAGTTCAAGAGGCAGAGCAAGAACCTGACAGGGAATGAGTAGAAAAGAGAGACTTGGATTGACAGGTACTTAAGACAACAAGGAAAAGAAGATGAAATTTTGGAATTCAGCTTTTGGCTTCTTCTCTGGGCTGTGAGCTGAGTAGAAAGGTCAGTTTGGTGCTTTCTCTGCCTCTCTGAGCTAGGAAGGTTTCACCCCAGCATCTGGCTCCTGAGTCTTCATTAGTAAAATTTAACAGATGGGATTCAGTTTATCAATCAACATCTTGGAGCTGCAAGGAGTGGCACAACCCTACCGATAGGTTACTCCCGATAGAGAAAAACTTAGAACCCATTAGATTTGGTAAGTTATTTGGGAAGTCCTCAAGAAGAGAGTTAAGGATGGAAAAATATCACAATAGAAGGCTCTATAGTGCTACTCTAGATGGCTTGAAAAAAGAAGCAGAAAAAGAAAAGCAAAATGGTTTAGCTAAAATTATCCTAATACCAATTAGAATTATCAATTTGGTATTTTATACTTCATTCTTAATAGCTATCATGACTTTCTCTATTTGATCAAAGAAAAAGTGGATTGATAAGATACAAGCCTTAGAAGGAAAATTAGAGGGTTTTATTACTGATGATAAAAATTATTCAGACACAGAGAGAGAAGTTTAGAAATGCCTTAGGAATACATATAAGTGGTAATAAGGAAAATTATCAGGCACGGACTGAGGATTTTAAACAAGAGCCATTATGTGTTGGATTTTAAACCAAACATAATGAAACTGAAAAGAGCTGCCTAAGACCTTTAGAAAACCAATCTTAGTTTATCCAGGTATTATACATGACCTACAAGGAGACGATAGGCACCTCCAAGGTTATAATGATGTTAAATGGAATCCTATAAACATTAGGTTTAAGGAGATTCAAGAGCGCAGTTGTCTCCTATGATATGCATTCATCCTATGTGCAGTAGATTCCAAACTCATGGGCAACTCAGAACAGGATTATCACCAAGACTGAAAAGATATGGCACCACCAATATTACAAGCTGGTCCTCAGTTGGGATAGCAGTCATGGTGGGAAGAGGAAGTAAAGGACACAGGACAACAAAAACCAGGGCAGAGGTATTGATATTTCCAAGGATCACTTGCTAGATGAAGGTCAATATACTGATTTACAAAGAAAGTTTGAGTTTGAAGATCCACCAGGGCACTCTGTCATCTTGGAGTTTTAAATGCTTGAATAAGGTTGAAGAATCAGGAAAGACATCTGACTTATTTACTAAAATTATACAAGGTCCAAAAGAAGCCTTCACTGTTTTCTTTTCTTTTTTTTTCCCAAAGAATAACCTCATACATTCAGAAGATACTAATTGAATATTTGGCTTTTTAAACTGTTAATTCAAAATGCAAAAGAGTGATTATTTTCTCATGTTTATGATGCTAATCTGATAGGAGAAGTAATGTATAAAAGCCTAGAAAAAAGAAAAATGGTAGATATTTTAACTATGGTAGAAAAGGACATTTGAACAAGGGTTGTATGTAAGGGGGATTCTAAAAACAATGATTTTTCTAGAAAAAAAAAAGGCTCAGATTTCTGGAGTATACAGATGGTTTGCCAAGTCAGGCACTGGATTAATGAATGTAAATGAATAAGAGACAAGAAAGGTAACCTTTTGTGTTGGAAACAACCCAAGGGAGCTTCCTGTAGACCCAAGCATTAAATTTGATTTTTTGTCAGAGTAACTCATTCACAGGAAAATGAAAAGGGTTAATGCCTGTGGTTAAAAACAAGATTGCTCTGTATATAGTAAAAGACAGTACAGCTCCAATAAATACTACAAAGAATTCAAAGACACAACAAAACAAATATTTTGTCAAAATGCTGTAAATCATCAGAGACTTAAGATGAAAATACAAATAAACAGCATAGGAAGTGAAGGTTTTGTAAACACCTAAGCAGATAGAAGAATAAGTTCACCAAAATCTTGGTATCCATGTTCTCCTCTTCAGGGAGTAAATATCTAGGTTCTAGGGATTAGAGCTTTATCTCAGGTAAAACAAAGCTCAAGACTGGTTGAGTGCATAGGGCCAAAGAGTCAAATAGGAAAATTGAAAACATATTTGGCTAATGTAGCCATGAATTTATGGGTACATGATTTTTTGCAACATTGGAAAACACAGAATAACAGTCCTCCAATCTCAGAAACAATCTATAAATTACAGAATGATTCTGAGAAAAATATTAAAATGTAAAATTATAAACCTAGGTAGAAAATATTTCTGAATTGATTCTGAAAGGAAGAGTGAGAGTATTAAATTATAATTTTATAATTAGTCTTAGTCAATGAGAAGGAATAGACCCAGCAGAATTTGTGGTACCCTTTACTAATGCTGGAATCGCCTCATCATTGGCAGAAAATGAACAGTGGCCAAGAGCTTGCAGAAATTTTTGGAGGGGAGAGGTTAACTACAAATATCCCTAAAGCAAGATACTTCAATTTATAAAAAGAACTAATTGGATTTTCCCTCATATTTTCTGGAGCACCTATGTTCTTTATTGATGCAAATAAATAAGAAAAGGTCAGTTATAAGTTAGGAAAACTAAGTAAAGTGGCTCAGAGCCCTTATGATTTAGTTCAACTCTCAGAGTTGTATGCCATTCTTAGAGTAGTATGTGATTTTCATGAATCCCTTAAGATAGTTACTGACTGGCAATATGCAGAAAGAGTTGTTTTATATGTTGAAATTGCTGAACTTATTCCAGATGATTCAGAGTTAACTTCAGTATTTGTTCTGCTACAACAAATAATTAGAAATAGAAGTCAACCAGCATATGTAACATAATCCTATCTCATATGGGTCTACCAGAGTTTCTAGAACAAGGTAATGATGAAATTGGTCAGCTGTTAACAGATAATATGCTAGATACTCAGAATTTCATAAGAAACCCTTTGTTGTTAACAGCAAAGAGTTTTATTGTTGTCTTCTTAATTTTATTATTAATAATTTTTAATGTATATGAGTGCTCTATATGCCTGCATGTCAGAAGAGGTCATCAGATCTCAGAATAGAAGGTTGTGAGCCACCATGTGGTTGCTGGGAAATGAACTCAGGACTTTGGAGGAATAGACAGTGTTCTTAACTGCTAAGCCATCTCCAGCCCAACAGCAAAGGTTTGAAGAAAGAGTCTACCATTTGGCAACAATCTAAGAAAAAGATAAGACAATGTCCTACTTGTTCTTTGTATAACCAAACTCCATTACCTGCAGGCCCTAACTCAAAAGGGACCCAAAAATGTGAAATTTGGCAAATGGATGTGTCTCATTTTGCAGAATTTGGAAAATTAAAACGTGTGCACCATACCATAGATACTTTTTCAGGATTTCAATTGTCAACTGCTTTAAGTTCTGAGAACGCCAATTCTGTAATTTCATATTTAATACAAGTTATGGCTATTATGGGAATACCTGTACAAATCAAGACTGGCAGGGTCCCAGAATATGTCCCTTGTAAAATTATGCCAAAGACACCAATCCACATATTGTAGAAAGCTTAGCAAAAATTGCTTCACTTTTACAAATAGCTTTACTGTATTAGAGTTGAAATCTTTCCTTTTTATTTAGACAAAAGGCGGCATATAGAAATAATATAAGATCAATAGGAAAAAGGGGTAGATTATTCAATCTACTCTTATAGATATTTGTGTATTCATATGCTATTAAGATGATAATTAGTTACATTAGCATGTATCTTTTGTATATTGATACAAAGTTAAGGTTATACTTTGCTTACAGTATCATATGTGTCAATCCACTACTTCTGAAGGGCTTTTAAAAATCACTCTCTGGACTGAACCATCCTTGGAAATTATGTGATTATGAGCATAGTTGCATTCAAAACCTCTGATCAAGAACCCATGCTAGAAAAAGATGATGGGAATTGCTAGAACTTACAGTTCCATCAACACTCACAGGGATTGGCTATTATAAAGTAAAGACCTCAGCGACCAGGGTCATCTTCTTTTCTTTAGGAGTGGTGGGACAAGACAGAGTTCATTTGACATCCATATTACCATTCATCATCAAGGAAAAACCAATGAAGCAATTCAATGTGTTTATACAGATGTAGAACCTGAGGCAGAGACTAGGGTGAAATGCTGCTAACTGACTCTCTTGGCCTGTAGTCCTCAGCTTGATTGCTTATTTGTTTTCTTTCTCATTTCCTTTTCTTCTCTTCCTTGTCCTCCTCTTCTTCCTCGCTCTGTCTCTCTTTTTTCTATTTTAATTAATTTATTCTCCCATATATTACGTCCTGATCCCAAATTCTCCTCCTTCCTTATACTTCCAACCTCCATTCCCCCAGGCCTTCTCCCTCCCTTTCTACTCCTCAGTTTCCTTTCAGAAAAGTGCAGTTTGCTGACTGAGAGTTGAAGGAAGCCATTACTTTGTATTATATTTCTCTATGTGAAAGTTTCCAGAACACTAAAAATAGTAGTGAAAATGCAGATTACCAGAAGCCTAAGTAACAAAGCATGTTCATGAATCATTACAATAGAGGAAAATAAGACTTTAACAAAGAGCTCTAAGGTCTCAAGTTGTTTTAATAATTAAGGTGTGCCTAAAATGATGGCTCTTAGTGGGGGATTCCACTGATGGTGGCAGGCATCTACAAAGGAACGGAAAGAAGGAGAGAAAAAGACCACACACACACACA